CCACACCTTCTCCTGCACCCCAAAATTCTGCCTGAGCCCAGAGCCCCCTCCTGCACCCAAACTCCCTCCCAGAGCTCACACCCCTTGCTGCACCCCAACACTCTGCCCCAGCCCAGAGCCCCCTCCTGCACCCAAACTCTCTCCCAGAGCTTGCACCCCTCACCCCCTCCTGCACTCCTGCCCCAGGTTCAGCCCAGAGCCCCCTCCTACACTGCGAACCCCTCAGCCACAGCCCAGAGCCCGCACCCCCTCCTGAACCCCAGCCCGGTGAAAGTGAGTGAGGGTGGGGGAGAGTGATCGACGGGGAGGTGGGGCTTTGGGGAAGGGGCGGGGCCTCAGGGAAGGAGCAGGGGAAATCCTGTGTTGCCCTTAAATTCAAAAAGTGATCTTAGGCGTAAAAAGGTTGGAGACCACTGATCTGGAGGCAGCCACCCAGTATGGAAAATTTCAGCTCAAAAGATTAAAGTCTGGCAAAATTATAAGCAACCAAAACAGAGTTTTATTATGGAAAGTGTTGGGAAGTCTTAAGTATAACCAGTGCTACCAGCTCATCATCATAATTTCATCAATGGTGAAATCTAACAGAAAAATCTGTTAGACCAGCTGTTATTTTCAGAACCAAAGGTCAGCGAATTTGTGGGGCTATGATAACTTCTCAACTATTTCCAATATATAACAATGTGAATGGCACACTCTGTTTAATGCCAGGCAACAAGACACACAAATCCTATTGAGATAAATATACACTCGTACCCTTGAAATGAACTTTGATTCATGCTTTTTCAATAAGTGTTTTCTACAAATTTACCTTTACAATGACACATTTATCTTAAATGGCAGCTATTTTTTAAAAAGATAGTATACATTAATTTAGCCATACTGCATTTCTTATGCTAGAGAGAAGTAAATCCCAAAGAAAGGAGAGTATTGAACAAACCCATCCATTATAGAAAGAGTTAAGAGCTCAGACAAGTAGCAGCATTAAGCAAAATTTATCAATACAGTAACTATAAGAGTGTTTTGTAGCAGGAAGGTTTGGTGACCTAATAATGGAGTCTGGAGCTTTCACACCCTAATTCAGAAAATCATCCCTATTCAGGAAAGCACTTAAGCACATGTTTAAGTCCTACTGAAGTCACTACGGTCTTCATCTTGATGGTGCAAAGATTTACCAGGCATACAGGTATCAATATTCTGCACGACTATTTGCAGGAATATGCATTGGTGGGTACCGCAGGCAACTGCTCTTAGGCCCCAAATCAGGAGAGTATCCTTATTCCGGAAAGTAAGTGCAAGTGTTTTCCTGAATAGAAATGGATGTAAGTACATGCTTACATTCTTTCCTGAACCAGTGCTCATAACTTTAGGTCACTGTTTGAATGCAGATCTGACTGATAGTGACCAAAATCTATTGCAATGTGATGGCTATTTGATGACTGAACCAAATTCTCCCCTTTGTGAGAACCAAATTCTCCCCTTTAAAAACAGGAAAGGGTGAGCATGGGAACTGTGTGTGAGTTGCAGCTTAGTGGAGGCCTCTGTATCAACCCCTCTGGAAGGAATGGGACTTTCAGCAGAGTGGATCTGGAAGGGGAAGTGACCAGACAAAGCTAGATAGGTTGGGATCCTCAGGAAACAAACCTATGGATCATCAGCCTTTTCTAGCACAATAGATTCTGCCTCTGTGCCTCTCTTTGCTCCTGCCCTGCAGAATTCATTCCTGCTGTACCTGGAGCCCTCTAATATGCTCACAACCCCACTGTGTTACAGAAAATGAACAGAGATGCATGGAATTAGAGGCTCATAGCAGCTGTAACCTACAATGCTTTAAGTATTATAGCTTCCAACTGACTTTCAGAGGCGCATAGTAGCTATTCCCCTGAGTCCACGCTTTGACCAATCCCCCTGCAGGTCACATGGTATCCATTGCTGTGGCTGCAGAGGAGAGATAGGTGGATATAGTATGAATGGACCATACTTCATAACTGTCTTTCCCTTCCACATGGGATCTCTGCACCCCATCTGACTCACCTTCAAAGGATTTGGGCTTCTGTGCTGCATAGGCCTCTGTTCACTATCGGTTACACAGGTGCAACCCAGCGAAGTCAGTGGGATGCCTATGTAACTGAAAGGGGCATTTGTCCCCATGGGTCTTTATCACAATTGACATTAACTGGCTCTGTTGTTGGCATTTTCAGCTGAGGACAAGGAGAAAGAATCACTCCTCATGGTGTTGTCACTAATGTAGAGCTGAGGTGTGTTGATGGATCAGTGGGGGAAGCCTGCATTTGTCCCTTATGGAATGTGACTGGGCACTGCAGTCTTTTTAGCCACAGAACAGTCAGGCCAGGCACCATTCCTGAGCCTTATACTCACTTCAAACTATTTCAAAAATAAAATATCTGAGGATTGTGTATCAAATCACATAATGCGCATTTATCAACCATGGATCTTTATGTTGCTATGACCCGCAAGAGCGCTGAGCAAGTCTGGGCTGATGTTTCTTATTCATCTTTAACTACCTTTAACTATCTTTACCCTCTTCTCAAAAATGTGCTTTCATGATCCATCAAACTTTGGACCTGAGCCGTCACTGTGTTGGCCAGTGGAGACTTTTTATTTCAGGCAATAGAGAGAAGGCTGTATGGCTTATGCAGGACTAGAGCTGGGTAAATAACAGATTTTTCAATTTATTGGAAATTCAAACAAAAAAAATTAAAAAATTGTTTGGGTAAAAACCAAAACTTAAATTTTTTGAAATGTTTTATTTTGATTTCAAGCATTTGTTTAACTTTATACAAATGTTAAAAATAAAATTAAAGAAATCCAAGCAAAGTCATTTTTGAATGACATTTTTTTTAAATATCAAAACGAAATTTTTTTTACCAAAATAGTTTAGCAAAACCGACATGAATTCTTTAAATGCTTGGGTGTGACCAAATCTGTGGTTTTCACTGAAAAAAAGCTTTGGTCCAAAAATTTCTCCCAGCTCTGTTCTAGACCCATTGCCAGCAAATCCCTGTGAGTAGCTGTCTTGGAAGTTACATGCCCTTGACAGTATTTTAAAATGGTACAGCCATTTAATGAAATGCATTTATTTTCTGCAAACCCAAAGATATCAACATACACAATGTTTATAGAAAGACACCAGATAGAGTGATTATTTTTAGATACTTCCCGCACCCTATAAATACAGTACAATAGCTGTAACACCACAAATAGCTCCATATGAATTCTTACTATAAGGAAACAGGAAATATCAGATTAAAAAGGGAAAAGCTGTTCTGAATAGTCCAAATATTAAAATACCAGTTTTAAGTAAAGAATCAGTAAAAAAATTGAAAGAAAGTCAGTTTGCATATAAGTTACCTTTTTATTATATGTCAGTCTAAATGTGAACATTAAGTCTATGGATCTACCCCTGGCTCATGCAAAATTCCCAGCGACTTAAATAAGCATCAGTGAGTTCAATGAAAGTTTTGTCTGAGCAAGAACAGCAGGATTAGGCACTAATTAAATTTGTGCACATTTTTCTCTGTCTTGGAGATATAGTATCCAAGCGGTTGTCCTAGTGGTTAAAGCACAAGGCTAGGAGTTAGAAGGACTAGGTTCTGTTTCAGACTACCACTAAATTACTGTGTGACTTTAGATACGCGACTTAACTTCTCTATGCCTCAGTTTCCTCATATGTAAAATAGGGATAATAATACCTTTGAAAAGACTTTGTGATCTATGTATGAAAACTGATACATGGTCTCACAAGTATATTGTCATAATTATTGGTGCTCACTTGGCATGCAGTAGGTATTAAATTAAAAACTGCTTCTACTATTAATAAAACTGTGAAGTGGGCCACCTGGTATACTAAGAACTGTAAGCCACAACTTTAACTGCTTGCTTATTTTTTCTTGCTTTTGACTTCCATTTGTCTTACTATCAGTGGAAGGCTATGTAGTGGGTACAAGGCATGAAATCATTACCCATCATCTGTTTTGTTTTGAATCAGCTTGCTGTCTAATTAAGTAAAATACATTCTATCATTGAAAAATGATAGACATAAGTTACGCCACAGTTTAACATTGTAGGCCAGAATCTGGCCTTATGTATGGCACTTATGAGCTGTTTGTCCAGGTGTAGGTTTAGACTGAGTGATGGAACATCATCTGTTACTATTTTTATGTGTATCTAGTTTAAGTAACAGGAACTAATCCAATTCAAATTAGTTATGGTAAAAAAAGAACCTTAGAGATGGAAAATATAATATATAAAGGATTGAGTAAACAATAAGAACAGGAGTACTTGTGGCATCTTAGAGACTAACAAATTTATTTGAGCATAAGCTTTCGTGGGCTACAGCCCACTTCATCGGATGCATAGAATGGAGCATATAGTAAGACAGGGGTCGGCAACCTCTGGCACGCGGCTCACCAGGGCAAGCACCTTGGCGGGCCGGGCCAGTTTGTTTACCTGCTGCGTTGGCAGGTTTGGCTGAGCGTGGCTCCCACTGGCCGCAGTTCACCGTCCCAGGCCAATGGGGGCTGCGGGAAGCGAACCGCGGCCAGTGGGAGCTGTGATCGGCTGAACCTGCCGACGCGGCAGGTAAACAAACTGGCCCGGCCCACCAGGGTGCTTACCCTGGTAAGCCATGTGCCAGAGGTTGCCGACCCCTGTAGTAAGGAGATATATATATACACATACCGAGAACAAGAAAAGGTGGGAGTTATCCTACCAACTCTAAGAGGCTAATTAATTAAGAGAAAAAAGCTTTTGTAGTGATAATCAGGATAGCCCATTACAGACAGTTTGACAAGAGGTGTGAGAATACTTAACATGGGGAAATAGATTCAATGTGTGTGAAAATGAATAGGTAGCTCCTAATTCCTCTCCAAACACACGTTAGAAAATATCTTAGTAGATTCATTAATATAAGCATTTATTTTCCAGCCCAGCTAAGTTTAAATATGATTTGATAAATTTATTTTGAATGGTATCAGACTTACCTATAGTACTGTAGTTCTGATTCTAGCTGCTGGATGTATATCTGCAAATGTGGCACTTTATTGGCTTTTGCTTCTAACTCCTTCACTTTGCCAAGACTGTTAAGGACTGCGTGTCTAGCTTCTTCCACTTTCTTCCTCATTTCTGCCTGTTCCCTCTTCAGATTACGGTTGCAGTCTTCCAGGGTGACTATAGCTTCCTGGGAACTCCTCAATTCTTTTTGCAGTTCTTGATTGACCCTAATTGCTTCTTCAATTTGTCCATCCCTGGAATTCCGGATTAGTTCCACCTCCTTTAGGACACTCTGAAGGCACTTGGTGGGCTGGGAGTGTTTGGGAGTTAACTGTCTCCTATTACCTATAAAACAGGTCCCATCTTTCTTATGATTAGCATGGCTTTTCCACAGTCCTACCTACAATCAACAGGGGCATAAAGAAGAACACAGATTAATTTATTTGAAAATAACTTAACATTTTAATCAAAGCTGAAAATGGGCAGATTTTTTGGCATATTTTCTTCATATGTAGTAAACCTACCCCTTAATTAGGAATCTACTTTTGGCCTATACAGAGTTCTGGGCACAATCCTTGGGTAATACAATTTTCAAAATACATACTTCCTGTAGAAAAGTTGACTCATTAAAGGAACAGCAAACTTTGTCTCAAATGTTTTACATGTTCACATATTGTTTTGATTTCATGTCTCCCCATTGTTTCAGTCAGTTCTCAGGGGTGCAACTAGCGTTTTGAGCAGCGGCGGCTCCAGGCACCAGCGCTCCAAGCACGTGCCTGGGGCGGCAGGCCACGGGGGGCGCCCTGCCGGTCCCTGCGAGGGCGGTAGTCAGGCAGCCTTCGGCGGCATGCCTGCGGGAGGTCCGCCGGTCCCGCGGATTCGGTGGCAATTCGGCAGTGGGTACACTGAAGCCGTGGGACTGGCGGACCTCCCGCAGGCATGCCACCAAAGGCTGCCTGCCTGCCATGCTTGGGGCAGCAAAAAAGCTAGAGCCGCTCCTGGTTTTGACATTTTTTTAGGCGTGTGGGCTATAAAAATTAGCATGAAGCTGGTAATCAGTAGGTGTCCTGAGTTTTAATCCTAGTTCTTCCAGTGATTCACTCTGTGGCCCTGGGCCAGTAACTTCACCGTTTTGTCTCAGTTTTCCTATTTGTAAACCAGAGATAGTACTACTTCACTGGACTGTTGTGAAGATTTAATAGTTAATGTCAAATTAGAACTTCAAACATATATAAGCATTATCTGAATGCTAAGTATATTTATTAACTCAAGTTAACTAGTCACACCAAAAAAACTGGAGAAGTCAAGCTTCTAGGGCCTCACCCTTTCTATACTACCCCTTAATGCCAGGCAGCGTTCTTTGTCTCCCTAGAGCAATCAAGCAATGCCTGCTATTAAAATCCTGTACTCTTTACTAATTGGAATTAATGGAAGTTCTGCCTGAGCAAGGACTGTGCATTGAGGCCCCAAAGTCAGTGGGGCTCTGCCTGGGTACAAGGGTCTGCTCACCAGTTCAACTGTAGGAGTGGGGCCTAACTATGAACTCAGAGGTTATCTGTGAGTCTCAAAACATTTCTTGCTCAATGAACTACCTACTTATTGTTCTCATAGGTAAAAATCCAAACAGTATCACATCCATTACTGATAAAACACTGAACAAACCAAAGCCACATATAAGAAAAGAGTAAGATCAAAATACACATTTCAGGAGCAGGGTCAATATATTTTTAAAAACCCTATAATGCACTAGCTTATAGTGTCTCATTAATAAATAGTAATACTGCAACAAAACATTTCCTCTTGAAAATTGTACATAACCAAACTGGTTGTCTTAAACAAAAACCAGCAACAACACAAACACACAATACCCAGGAAGAAATAATGACAAGTATCCAAGTTGCCATTTGTTTAGAAACAGAACTATTTATATTCAGTAATCTGGAACTAGATGGAACATAACTCTCTGAATCATTCAGGTAAACATCATTAATATGTCAGATGTTCATTTTTTGAAAATCACAACATCTTCATCTTCAATTTACATATAACATTAACACTGAAAAAGTATGAAAGCCTTGATGGCCCATGAAATAAACTGACTGAAAGGTCAAAAATCTTTTCCAGCATAAACAAGTAGCCCCAGCCAGGCCTGGAAGGAAATAAATTCTCCCACCCTCCTTTGCACTTTCACCCACATTTATTTCAATGGGCTTTTAGTGGTCTAACTTTTAAAAATATGTTCCAACAGCTTGTTGCACTGTGTAATCAATGAGAGTTGGAATGGCCCTAACACCAAGGTCCATTTCTATGGCTTTTCATGACAAGCATTTGGAGGAAGACAGACCGTCCCCCCCCTTTCACCCAAGACTGAGGTGAATGCAAATAAGTCACAAACTAATTAACAAAATGTTTGCTCTGAACACAAGCTTTAATGAGCTCCTTTGACCAATACTAGCTCCAGTGAACTTTACTTTCAGTTAACAAAAGTAGTGTTGTGCTTTAGGTTACATTTAAACCAACTTTTACTGCACAGTTACAGTGACAGCAGAAATGGAAGCCTCTCTCCTCTGTCCAGCAGTACTGATAGAAACGGATGCACTCCATTTATCCGTTAATTAAATCTCTCCCCAAACGTAGTGGCAATAATAATCCAATCTTTTTAATAATCCAGTTACCCAACAATAACCTGATTAGATGTCCTGGAAATCTTTCATAGATCTAGTGGGGTGAGCACAGAGTTTAACATGGTGCATTTCATATTCCCTTCTTTTAGCTCTTTCTCTCACACTCGGGAGCAGCACCACCACTGCTAGACAAATGCAGCTAGTGAATACATATTTTCCCTGCCGAATGTCAGCTGGAGCCCAAGTCTGCCCTGATTTACACTGCCAAGTGCCCCTGAAATCAGAACAGCGGCTCCCAAACTTCTGCTGGTAGGAAGAAGGCGGGCAGGGCGCTGGAGTGCTTAGTGCCAGCGTGCCAGGGTGTAGGCGTGGCAGTGCTTGGGAACAGTGGGACCTGTCACCCTGCCTTTACAGGGAGCGCTGCAGCTTTTGCTGCCCTAGGACTAATTCCATGTGTCAGTTTCCCAAGGTTGGTTTCGCTCTGGCCGCAGGCTGAGTCCCCGGAACAGGGTCTGGCTAGAGCCCCCGAGAGTGCAGCAGCCCGTGCCCCTTCCCGCTCACCTGCAGAGCGAGGCACCTGGCGTCGCTGCTCTGCAGCGCTGCCCGCATGTCCTCCACCAGCTCCCGCAGGCTGCCGTTCTCCTCCTCCAGCTTCACGATCCGGTCTTCAGCCTGCTCCAGAGCCACGATCTCCTCGTAGCACTCCCTGGAGCAGGGGCCCGGCCGCCTGGCGTGTGGGGCCAGCCCGGGGGCGGCCGGGGGAGGAGAAGCCCCTCGCGGGCTGCCGCTTTTGATGGCAGCAGCCCCCTGGCCCGCCTTGTCCCGGCGCCGCCGCAGCGGGCTGCGCAGCCGGATCTGGGTCTCGATGTGCTCGCTCTCCTTGCCCAGCGGCAGCCTGCCCACCGCCGGGCGCTGCGGCGCGCAGCCGGCCTTGGTGCTGAAGTAGCCGCAGAGCTTGGCGTGGAACTGGCGGAAAGTCAGCTCCGGGGCCAGGTCCTCCCAGAGGCCGGCGCATTCCTCCGGGTCGGCCGCCGCCTCCTCCGGGTCCGCCAGCCCCAACACCTGGCAGAGGGTGCGGAAGTCCTCGCCGGGGATCCTGCCTTCCGCCTCGCAGTCCAGGTGGTGGAAGATCTCCTGCAAGTACTGGTCCAAGCCCGTGGCCAGCACGATGATCTCGTTCTCCACGCCCCGGTCCAGCCCGTAGTGATACGCCAGGGCGCTGACCAGCCACTGGGTCCGGCGGGCCGGCCGGCTGTAGGGGTCCCAAGCGTCGGGGGGATCCATCTCTCACCCCACCACCATGCTGCCCCTGCTGGCGCACTGGAGCGTCCGGAGCCCTGCAGGCAGCTCCGCTCCCGCAAGCCCAGCGCAGGGTCAGAACAGGGGCCGGTGTCCGGCCCCCGGACGCGCCGCCCCCGTGAGCACGTGCGCGGAGATGTGCACAGGCCCCGGGGCTGAGGGAAGCTACTGCCCTTTACTCTCGGGCTCCGCTTCCCCCAAGCCATGCAGGAACCGGCGCAGGGGGTGGGGAAGATAGAGGAGGGTGGGGGGAAGGGTGTATGAACAGATCGGGGGTGGGGGAGCGGAGCAGATTGCGGGGTGCGTGGGGGGAGATGGGCAGACGAGGGGATCGGGAGGTGCATGGGAAAGATGGAGCAGATGGGAGGGGGTCGGGAGGGTGTACGGGGGAGATGGAGCAGATGTGGGGGTGTCTAGGGGAGCTGGACAGGCAGGAAAAATCTGAATTACACTGAACTCCCTCCTGGTGCTCCAACACTTTCCCCATGACTGTGCTATACTGTTTTGTGTGCATGGCTGTCTTGTTTATGCCCCTTGAAGAGTACATAGAATGAGAGATGGGGTTTGTTCTAAGGACTTTACAATATACATTGTGTAGCTGGGGAGTGATTGTCAGATCATGTTTTGAATCGCGTTTATCACTTTAAATATTTTCACATGTGGCTTCATGTTTGCCTTTTATTATTTTCTCTCTAACAAGTGCTGCTTTTGCTAATGTCAAATATCCACTACACTGAGTTTCCCTGTTTATAATTTATTCTGTCAACTAGTAACAGCTCCCAAGACAAGAGAGTGTTGTTGTGGTTAACATAATTAATCAAACAACAACTCAACTTCAAATACATGTCAGTCTGAGCAAAGAGTAAAATATATGTTATTGGGTTTATATTGGGTTTATGCTCTTGGTAACCCTAGGACCCCTTTCTGTAGACCTCACTCAAGCAAAACTCCCGTGGGAAGCCCCTGGCATCAGTAAGGATTGCAGACTCAGCATCCTGGTATGTAAGATGACCCATTGTTTGGAGACCCTAACAATAACTAGACACAAAAAACAAAATTAAAGAAACCTCAAAGCCCAGCAGGTATTGACTACCACTGAAACAAACAATGAAATTTTAAACAGCCTGATTAAAAAAAAAATCTCTTCCCGTCTCAGTTGTTCAACTTTGTCTCACGATTCTTGTGACATTTTGTTGTACAGGGAGGACATATCCTGAATTTCTAATATAAAAAAGAAGCAGAAAAATATTTTTTGTTTTGGGGAAAGGTGGAGGGGGACACAATCCATCAAGCCTTCCTTATTCATCCTAAATAGTAGTTTTAAGAATGCTTGATAAAGATCTTGTAGGTGTTTGTCTCTGTCTGAAGGATTGGCGCAAATGCAGTTGTATCTTAGGGCTTCGCTGTAGACAATGGATCATGTGATGTGTCCTGGATGGAAGCTGGAGGCATGTAGGTAAGTATTGTGGTCAGTAGGTTTCCAGTATAGGGTCGTGTTTATGTGACCATCGCTTATTTGCACTGTAGTATCCAGGAAGTGGATCTCTTGTGTGGACTGGACCAGGCTGAGGTTGATGGTGGGGTGGAAATTGTTGAAGTCCAGGTGGAATTCTTCAAGGGCCTCCTTCCCATGGGTCCATATGATGAAGATGTTATCAATGTACCACAAGTAGAGGAGGGGCACTAGGGGACGAGAGCTGAGGAAGCATTGTTCTAAGTCAGCCATAAAAATGTTGGCATACTGTGGGGCCATGCGGGTATCCATAGCAGTGCTGCTGACTTGAAGGTATAAATTGTCCCCAAATCTGAAATGGTTGTGGGTGAGGACAAAGTCACAAAACTCAGCCACCAGGTGTGCCGTGGCCTCATCAGGGATACTGTTCCTGACAGCTTGTAGTCCATCCTCGTGTAGAATAAAGAGCTTCTATATCTATGGTGGCCAGGATGGTGTTTTCAGGAAGATCACCAGTGCATTGTAGTTTCCTCAGGAAGTTGGTGGTGTCTCAGAGATAGCGAGGAGTGCTGGTAGCATAGGGTCTGAGAAGAGAGTCCAAATAACCGCATTTGTGCCAATCCCTCAGACAGAGACAAACACCTACAAGAACCAATCCCTGTAACAAACTCCATTGTCTACTCTGTCCCCTTATCTACTCTAGCAACACCATCAGAGGACCAAACCACATCAGGGGCTCATTCACCTGCACATCTACTAATATGATATATGCCATCAAGTGCCAACAATGCCTCTCTGCCATGTACATTGGCCAAACCGGACAGTCTTTATGTAAAAGAATAAATGGACACAAATCAGACATCAGGAATGGTAACATACAAAAGCCAGTAGGAGAACACTTCACTCTCCCTGGACATTCAATAACAGATTTAAAAGTAGCCATTCTTCAACAAAAAAACTTCAAAAATAGACTTCAAAGAGAAACTGCAGAGCTACAATTCATTTGCAAATTTAACACCATTAATTTGGGCTTGATTAGGGACTGGGAATGGCTGGCTCACTGCAAAAGCAATTTTCCCTCTTTTGGTATTGACACCTCCTCATCAATTATTGGGAGTGGACCACATCTACCCTGACTGAATTGGCCTTGTCAACACTGGTTCTCCACTTGTAAGGTAACTCCCTTCTCTTCATGTGCCAGTATATTTATGCCTGTATCTGTAATTTTCACTCCATGCATCTGAAGAAGTGGGGTTTTTTACCCACGAAAGCTTATGCCCAAATAAATCTGTTAGTCTTTAAGGTGCCACCAGACTCCTCATTGTTTTTGTGGATACAGACTAACACGGCTACCCCTCTGATACTTGGCACCATGCAAAGAGTGTACATTATCACATGAAAGCAAATTAACAGTGCTCAGTTTTGTGTTACATATCACATAATAAAGATTATTGTGAATAATAATTAGAAGTAGCTGCACTTTAAATATGTCACATAACTGTATATTACTTTAAATATGTCTACAGAATCTTATTTTAAACTAGCTATTTTTACGGGAGTGTAAAATAAAGGCATTAGAGGCTGGTAAATATCCATTTCTTTGTATTCTGATATGTTTTGAAGGTTTTATTTAAAGAAAACAGCTCTTGGCCTCAAAACATTTCTGTTCAGTTTCAGCCTGGAACACTTTTTCAGTTGAGTTGTATACAGCCATGAAAAATAGGGGTTTATAATGGAAATGCACTGTTGTAACAGCACAACCAGATGCCACTGTGATATTTCAACAATGTTTTTGTTAAAAGTTCAGAATAAGTACCATTCATGCCTTCATTGCCATTTTGGTTGTATTTTCTTGAGTCTGAGTTTGGCTGAGCATTTCTTTCCAGTTTCATAAAATTGCAAGCCTAAAGTTGGCAAAAAACCCTAAAATATGATAGGTCCCAGTTCAACAAGGTACTTAAGCATCTGCCTAATTTTAACTATGTGTGTAGTTCCATTGAAATTCTTGGGACTACTCTCATGCTTAAGTTTGGCATATGCTTAAGTATCTTGCAGAATTCAGGGCCATAATTTGCTTGGTTTTGGTTTGCTCCTGTATTTTTGCACCTCTCGGTAGATGTGATATGTTTGTGGCATAAGTATGTGCCTTGTAAGAAATTGTCAGATGTAACATAAAGTATGTCTACTTGCGCCACAATTTGAACTGGCTTAAATCCATGTACAGTAAAAACCTCAGAGTTAGGAAGACCTTAGGAATGGAAGTTATTCGTAACTCTGAACAAAACGTTATGGTTGTTCTTTCAAAAGTTTACAACTGAACATTGGCTTAATACAGCTTTGAAATTTTGCTATGCAAAAGACAAGTGCTGCTTTTAACCATCTTAATTTAAATGAAAAAAGCACAGAAACAGTTTCCTTACCTTGTCAACTTTTTTTAAACTTTCCCTTTATTTTTTTTAGTTGTTTACGTTTAACACAGTACTGTGCTGTACATTATTTGTCTTTTTTTCTTTTTCTTTGTCTCTGCTGCCTGATTGCATGTGGTGTGTGATTGACGGTCAGTTCATAACTCTGAAGTTCTACAGTATTTTCTAAAGCTGTGAAATTTCCAGAAGATGTATATCTGATGGGAGTATGTTCTCCTTAAAAATTTAATGTTTGCTCAAATATGAAGCTGTCAACATTAATTTCTTGTTATTCAAATGGTAAAAAAATGTTTATTGCAGCCCCTGCATGTTAGTAGTCCCATTGACTTCATTGCGATTCATCGCATGAGTAAGAGATAGTATTTGCTGAATGGAGTGACTCTCCTTAGTTCACGCTGAATGGGAATGATGACTTAATTCCATCTGCTGTGAATCTCCAAGAGAAACAAAGGGTCCCATTGTCCTGTCCTCTTTAATATAAATCAGATTTCTGATTATTCATACGATAAAAGTCTGTACATTGACAACATACAATACTGTATTGCTGAAGAACTCCCTTTGACCTTGATGCTGTAAGGCAGTAGTTTTCAACCTTTCTTCATTTGCAGACGCCTAAAAAATTTCAAATGGAGGTGCAGACCCCTTTGGAAATCTTAGACATAGTCTGCGGTCCTTCAGGCATCCATGGATCACTGGTTGAAAACCACTGCTTTAAGGTCTGGAGTTCCTTCAGGGCACTCAATGTCCCTCATGGTCAGGCCATATTTTCCCAGAGACTGAGCTCTACCCACTAATGCTCTCTCCTTTGTGTGTTTATTATTGAAAACAGTAATTTGTTTTGTAATTATGCAACCATTGGGGACTGTAAAACCTTCTTCCTGGTTTTCATCAGTTCATTTCTGGTTTGTTAAGGCTCAGTGTATTCTTATACCTCGTCTTAAAGAATATTTTCTCTCCTAGGTTTTTTTTCTCTGCTTATAAAACTTGACATGATACATTTTTAGCTCACACAATTTGCAACCTATCTTATTCTTGATTGGCAAAAGGAATGACTAGATGATCTAATAAGTCTTTTCCGTCCTTAATGACTATGCTTTCTTTGTGTAGGCCTGGCTTGACAAAAGTAATTGGACATGGCTGAGGCCTCATTTCTTGGGAGACAGGATTAGGGAGGTAAATGGATCAGCAGCCTGGAAACAGAATATCTGTACTAGCTAAGATAAGGGGCAACACTCAGGGAACCATTTACAATGGGCAAGATAAATGTAAGGAATGTAAAGATGAGGTACTGAGTAGGTCATACATGGACAG